GGGGGGGGGGGGGGGGAGGAAGAGGTGGAGGAGAAGAAGAAGAGACCGTCGTCTCTCGTTTTTCATCTTCTCTTTTTCCTCTCATCGTTCGCGACGCGGCGCGGCGCGACGCGATGCGTAGGCGAGAGACGACAATCGAGACAGAGAAAACGGCGATCGGACGGGACAGGGCGAACGAACGCGTGAGAGTAAATGCCAGGTGTCCTCGCGCGGGTATCAAGAGCAAGAGGAACACGTCATCCCGAGAAGGACGTATCGAGGAGATAGCGCAAGCGGGACTTTCGTCTCTTTTCCATTCGTTTCTTTTGCTTCTCTTTTGAATCTCTGCTCCCTTCCTCCGACTGTCTCTGTCTCCGTGCCACCCTCACCGTGTCCCACGAGAACCGCGAGGAGGGTTCGCGTGTCCCTCGGACAGGGAGCCGCGAGAAGGACAAGATGAAAAGATACTTTATTGCGCCGACTTCCCGATAATCGTCGTCGTCGAGGTGACGGGTTCCCTGACGTACCGTCGAGACACGTGGTGTGAACGCCACGACGTCACTGCTACTACTAATGTTATCTTTTTTTTTGTGTTCTGAAATAAATCGTTAGACAAAGACAGACAGATAGAGATAATTCTATTCTTTTTTTTTTTTTCTATCTTTTTGTCTTTCGCGTACTCCGGCTTTTGTAGCTACGCGTAAGATTAGCGTTTGGAAAGTTCAATGAGAAGAACTCTCGATCGCGCGACAGAGAACCGCGCGTTGTATTACTAACGAGTGGTATCCATATAAAATGTGTATATAACATGTCTATGTACGCGCGTACGTGTACACTGAACAGCGACGCTCAGCGAGAACATCGACAACATCGACAATGTGATTAGCGCGTGAAACTGTTACTTTTGTCGTGGTGTAGATATTGTTCCACAGTATATAAAATGCCTACTGTTTAGGCGGGGAGAAGTGAAAGAGAAATAGAAAAAGAAAGAGAGAGAGAGAGAGAGAGAGAGAGAGAGAGAGAGAGAGAGAGAGAGAGAGAAAGAAAGAGAGAAAGAGAATAGTGTGCAACAGAGAGTAAAAGAGAGAAGGACCTATTGTAGAGATTAAATACTGCATAATAAAGAATAAAAGAAATGAAAGAGAAGGCTAAGTATCAGAAGATAGAGGCATAGACAGACAGACAGACAGACAGACAGACAGACAGATGAGAAGAATGATACAGAGACAGAGAAAGAAAAATGAGAAAGAGAGACAGAGTATGGGCAGATACCGCAGATAACCGTCCGATCGATCGATCAATCAATCGACCTGAGGCTTTGCTTAAATCTACTACAATGAGTGTATTCACGTATTCACGAACATCTATTTGCCAGGATGTCGCCGGATTGGTATACAAGGTGGCCGTCTTCGTCGTCCTCGACGGAGGGCGGTCGTGGGCTCTATTCGGGCCGGCGGTATCAGTAATCGACGCGTGCCAAGAGAAGGACCCAAACGCAGGCCGCGGACCACACCACCACCGATGGTTCGGTATCCCGTTTCGCGTCGGTCGGGCCGATTCGTTATCGTCGAGTGGAGACAGTAGGCGTCGCACCCGGAGTTGCGTAGTGGTTGCGTGTGTACCCGGGGAGTCGAGCGCCGTGTTGCAGTAGTGTTGTAGTTGATGGTAGTAGCCGGCCACATCCGCGTCCACGTGGGCAGCCATCGGGCATCAGGGTGTAGGTGTAGTAAAGGGAAGAGCGGCGGGTCCACCATTAGTCCCGGCAACATCCCACCGTGTCGTCCACCACACCACCGCCACCACCACCGTCGCGAGTCGGCCGACGAAACCCGTGTAACACGCGGTAGAGGACGTGTGTAAGCACGGGACGAACGTACGAGTGTGTCGGTGGGGGTAGGAGGGTAGGATAACATCATGGGCATCATCATCATCATCATTATCATCATCATCATCATCATTATCGTCGTCGTCGTCGTGATCATCGTCGTAGTCGGTCATCGTCATCGCCACCGCCATCATCGCCATCATCATCATCATCATCACCGTCGTGTGTGATCGTGATTATGATTGTGATCATAATCATCGTCATCATTATCATCATCACATCATCGAGTGAGAAGAGACAGAGAGAGAGAGAGTGGCCAAACCGATCCGAGCGCCCGCCAGTCGACCATAGTGAGTGCGAGAGAGACCAATCCGTCGTGTGTGCCATTTCCATTCCATTCCATTCCATTACAACGGAGATGGTAACCCAACAATCAGAGAGAAAGGGGAGAGGGCAAAATGGTTTGCCAAGTCAGAAAGTTGCGGTTACGAATTTACCATTTTTCGGCACAAAGCGCGTGACTATGTGCCTTTCTTTTCTTTATCTCTCTTTTATTTATTTTCTTTTACGACACTGGTTTCCCTATTCTTTTTCTTTTCTTTTATTATTATTATTATTATTATTAATTACTTATTTCCGTTTGAGAGTTTGCGTTTGCTTTTTCTTTATGTATTTTGCCTTTAATCTCGCTCGCCTACTCGCGTTTAAACGTCTATACTCGTGTTTAGAGACCCGATTTTTTTTATGCGCGTGTCTCTCGAAGAAGAGAGAATCCCATATCCCGGACACGCGCACGGCTCTATTGTCGGGCATGGAGCACTTCGTACGACATGAAACGACCATGAATGCGCATTCTAACGTAGACATATAGAGAAAAGCAGAGAGAGAATCATGTGCGTTATGTACATATACAAATCGCGGCAAGGTACATGGCAAATGATTTTTAATGACTATATACATAAATATTATGTATATACATATATATGTATACACGTGCATTTTTATACTCCATTAGATCGGCGATTACTCTGCTAACGAGACAACGAATTGTTCTCCATTTAATATCGCGGTGAAGAATAGAAGAGAAAAAAAATTAAAAAAAAGAAATCTCAAAAACTAAAAGAACAACGGATCAAAGGACAGTTTCTTCGAAGTGCTCGTGACGCGCGTTATCTGTTTCGTTCTCTTTTGTATTCTATCTTTGTTCTTTTTTTGACACGCTAATGGAGAGATAGTTGTTAAATTGTTAATTGTTTATATAAGGTACTTACGTGTGCGCGCGAACGGCTGCTCCACGACGATCGGAGAAAATCGTACGATCGTCGTGGGGCGAGTCCATCGCGACAATTATCGGCGCAAGGCGACACTGATCGGCGATTTTTCGATCCTACCTTATCGAGAACGCGCAAACACCGATCTATATCTACTTACGGATCGCCGATCGCGCTACTAAGTCATTACTACACTCGGTGGAGCAAAACGGAAAGTATTTGAAGAAGAAGAGAAGCAGGGCCGCGTACTCTCTCGTAGTTCTCGACGTAGTGCTTCGTCGTCGGGACGACGGTTATCGAGATATAAGCCGCTACAACGATGTAGCTGCAACCCTGATCAAGATCAATGATCAAGTCGTTCGACTTTTCTGACTACTGCCGTTCATGTACGCCGGCGTACACACCCAATCTTGGATCCACAATGAACGTGTGGTAAAGAGACATTTCGAAAAAGACATTTCTAAGCTGTCCGATAATTATACGTAGATCGAGCTTTATTAGGCGTATAAATTAATTCGTGACCTTTCTTTCATAAATCGATTGGAAATCATTTGTTGAGTGACATCAAGTTGTTCAGCAAGTTCTTGTTGTGTTTGACAAGGATTTTCTTGTAACAGCTTTTAAAATTTCTAGTCTTCAATTTTTTCTAGCGCTCCAGGACATACTTGATCGGAAAAAGATCAAAATTGCTATTTCAAAATCTTATAATCTCTGATATCATTTTTTACATGTACTTTCCCTTAAAGGAGAGCAAATCATTTCCTTATCCTTAAGAGCATTTTTTTTAGTTGAAATGCAAAAAGAATGCAGTGTCTAATATGCTGCTTATAGAATGACGTTGTGTTTAATATTACTGTGAGATTATATCGTTACACACACACCAGATCGAGTTATATGATGTTTTTTTTATTTTAAGGTTGACGACACTCCAAAACTCCACGGATAAATACAACGGGTAAAAGATTTGAATTCAAAAAAATGTTACAGTTGATTAATTGTAAGGGCAACGAATTAATTTGTACACCTAATAATTATTGATATAAATAGCGCCTCTATATCATGAATGCATTTTGGTAATGGAACGCAACTCTCTCGCGCTGAGAGAAAAAATATCTAAGAGACAGTAAATATTTATTCGACAGATGCCGATAACATATCTACTTATATCAATATAAAATATTTTTAAATGCGAAAATATATATTCTCTTAACACTTGAAAAAAACTTTAGCTCTTTTCATGAGAGCAATTGTTTATTCTATTAAAAAAAAAAATATATATATATATATATATAAGGGAATTTAGATTTAAATAAATATATATTGTTAGCGTACCCACCAAATGAATATTTAGTATTTTTTATATATTTTTTTCTCTCAATATTTTATATTTTTTTCTCTCAATATTCAAAGGAACTGAATTTGCAATCGAGAAGCTTATCTTCTCGAACCGTTTTAAATATTTGAAAAGTAAAGATCGTCTCATGAAAGTATGGAAACTTTCTTTTGTCTTGTATTAAGAGAAAAACGTAGTGATAGCAACTATGTGGGTGACAACAGGGGGCCCATCCTTAGAACATATTATGTACATGAAAGGGGAATGCGGGCACTGAAAATATATCCAAGTTGCGTGCAAAAGGGAAAGGTTGCGAGAGACTAATCGTCTTCTGTATAAGTGCGTCGAAATCATCAGCCAATAGTTTCGACGGTTTCTATACTGTATAATTTCAGCGCGTGCGCACAGAAGACTTTTAGTCCTTATCTCCTTTCTCTCTCGCATGCAACTTGAGCACACTTTTGATTCACAAGAGACAAAGGCATTTGCTTTCCATGTAAATATGTTCTAAGTAAACATCTCGTTTTATATCTTGCCAGATGCAACCCGCGTGTGATTCTAAATCCAAGTTGCAAAAAACACTTTTGCGACATCGGTGGGTAACCAATTGGCTAGTTAGACTTTCTAGTGACTCTGAATCACTCCTCATAGCGCGACAACGTGAAGGAAAAGGAGATTGCTAAGACGGAAGGAGTTCGTATACGAGTTGCACCTCTATACGCGCACACAAGGCAAACAGACAGACAGACAGACAGACAGACACGCATACGCACACACGCGCGAGGAAGGCAACGGGAAGGCGAGAGGACGACAACAGCGGCAACGGACACGCTCTGCTTCAAGTGGCGCCGCTTTCGCGAGCGCGCGACCACCAACCCGGGTGCTTCGGTTCGACAACTTACAATCGCGCCGTGGATCGCGTCCACCACGTCGCCGATCACACTCGCGCCCGTCGACGCTACCACAGTGCCCCCCTTCGACGCGTGGTCCTTTCGACTGTTATGCTGCTGATGATTGCTCTTTCTATACTTGCTGGCGATAATGTCCGTCGTGCTGGGCTGCACGTTCGCTTGTCCACCCGCCGCCAACTGGCTGTACGCGTCCTCCATGGCGGCGTACTTCAAGATAAGACTCTGAATCTCCTTTCGTTTGGCCGCTCTGTCCGAAATGGTCGGATCCTCGTCCTCCGTGAGCGCGTCGTGCGCGGTTTGGACGATATCACTCTGCACCATGTTCTCGGGAATAATTTGCGCGTTGCTGTTGACGATCGGCGTCTTGTCCCGGTCGATTGTGACCTGCGAGTTGTCGATGAACGTCGACGGATCGACCCTGACCGGTCGGGACAGTCGAAGGGAGGTCGAGTAAGCCTCCAACTGCTCGCTCTTGCCGTTCCGGTGCGGCCGCACTTTCCGACTGCGTGTTTCCGCGTGACCGGACTTGTGCCTGCCGTAGCGGCGATAAGTCTCTGAGTTCAATAAGTTGTGCCGATCAGTGCGGCTGTAGGCTGGTGTCTTCTCGCGTCTGGGCTCCCGGCCCATCGCGGAGCTCACATAGGGGTAAGCCTTCTCGCTTAGCAACACGCAGGTGGAACTCTTGACGATGCTGCGTGTCACCGACGGCTCCAGCGTCTTGTCGTCGCGCACGAAGGGACTGTTGTCTCGATGATAGTAACTATGATCACGCTGCTCCTGCTTCCGAGAGTAAGTGCGGCTAATCCGCTCCGAGTCGTTGGCATGTCTTTTGCCGGCGTACTTGTCCAGAATCGTGCTGTACTTGTCCTCCAGGCGGCTCCGCGTGCTACCAAGTCGACCAATATTGGGCGATCGTCTGGAGGTCGCGCCTCCCACGCTGCAATCGTTGAGGGTGGACGTTCCGCGCACCCTCGTGGTCAGCTTCTGGAGCAGACTCGTGCAGGAGTCGCTCAACATCTGCGTGACACTCGTGGACGAACGGGCATAGCGGTTGCGGGCTCGCGAGTCCTGCCGAGAGGTCGACATGGTGTCGCGCGGCGCGAATATGAACATTTGGAGTGACTGTGACGGTTCTCCAGAGGTCTCAAGATCTTACGAAGAAGCTCCTGACGAGCAATATCTCGAAAAATTTCGTAGTACCCAAAGTCGTCCTAACGGATCTCACGAGGCGATTTCATAACGACGACATGCTGAAGTTTCGGCGGATACACCGCGTCGGAGGAGAGCTCGCGGAAGAAGAGCAATCCACAGAGACAGCGAGGTTGACGAGAGGATCTTCTACGCAGGTACATCACTACGCCGGAGAGGCGCGAACACGCCGAGCGAGCACGCGCGCGCGAGAGGGACGCCGTCGAGGAAGGCACTAAACTATGACCACGACGAGGGTCACGGAGACGACGACGACGACGACGACGACGACGACGACGATGGCCGGGCGACGTCGGCCGTTCACGAAGACGACGAAGACGACTACGACGAGGAGGAGGCGAGACTCGGTGCGCCCCGCCAAATACTCTCTCGTCGCACTAAAAATATCAAGGAGCGGTGGTGAGCCCGCGAACGATTCGTCCTCCTCTCTCGAAACCGACTCTTCGAGAGCGATCAGAAGCGGAGCGGTAGAGAGGAGAGAGAGAGAGAGAGAGAGAGAGAGAGAGAGAGAGAGGGAGGGAGAGAGAAAGAAAGAGAAAGAGAGAAGCTGATAGCGTAACTCGGGAACAAGATTGCGGCAAAAGAGAGGGACGAATAGAAATAGAGAAAGAGAAGCCAGGTGCAAGTGAGCAGAAGAAGAAGAGAAACGGAAAGAGAACCGAAGGAGAAGGAGGAGAAGGAGGAGAAGATGATGAAGGAGGGATCACCACCGGGTGGTATTACGTAAATTGCTTCGCGCTTCTTCGGTACGGGGTGTCGAAGTTCGGTACACTCCGAGGAGCTTGGCGAACGCCGAGCGTGTGCTTCCTGATGCGCGCATAACAGAAGATGCAGAAGAGCCGCTTCGCGCAGAGGCGCAAAGGACGCTTCTACTCGGCACGCGCAGCGGGAAAACGTACTTGCGTTTTCGCACGCGGCGTGACGCGCCGCGCGTCGTCTCGCGCCTGCACCTTGACACACATAGAAATTGCAAAACGGCCGCGACGCCAATTCGATGTAGAGTAGGTCTGTCGCGCGACCGAATATTGGCTACCGGTCTGAGACAACGTTGGCGTCTCTCAACGGGCGAGAAGCGATGTTACAATCCGCGACGGGCAGATCGTGTCTATGAAACGGAGAAGAGTCAAAACCAAGCTGTCCGTTTCGGACAGATCAAAGAACATAGATGAGCATTCGTAGGAAGAGAAAATTGATGAAAGACACGAATCCTCCGGAGTAAGCTCTATAACAAGCTTTGGGAACGGGAACTATCAAAATTGGTCGATCTCATCTGGACGCGAAGTGAAACGACGACGCGCGGAAAGCGGATCTCGTTAACTCGGAAATAAACAGGTAAACGGAATATGGGACGCGCGAGCGCATGTTAGAGAGGAGACCCAGTTGGTCTAGATGAAATCGAAGGCGCCCGAGATCAACGGAATGGTTCGTGGCACTCTGGTACTATTAATAAAGCCCGGGTTGTCTTCAAGGTCGCGACGTTGAAGCGTAGATCGTTCTATCGCAGATTTTCCCTGCCGAGTCTGGTGTGTATCGATATAAATAAGTGACAAAATAGCGGCGCAGTTTGCCCCGCGAGACTCTGCTTCGCCCACAAGAGCAGCGTGTATACCGCATCATCGGTTTCCTGATACATCTCCGAAATATTTCCCGGTGAAGCCAAGCCGATCAACTTGGCTCGAGTTCGGGATCGGGACTATTTGAGAATCCGGATGTGTACGCGCGCGCATTTCGTCGGAATAACGGGAGACGAGTTAATGCGTCGTCCGACCGATGAGGCGATGCCTGAAACCACAAGAGGAACCCCCTCGTGAAATTCGCGAACAATCGTGAGAGCGAGCGCGTCAGTTAAGAGTGCAGATGAACGGTGACAACTAACTGATAGGGAGAGTGAATTGGAAGCCACAGAGCGAAGTGGCTCGGAAACACTAGCGCCAGCTGGACTGCCGCAAGAGTGAATCATGGAGCGTCGTCGAATCACGGGATTCCCTCTTACCGAATCGGCCGCGTTATTATGACAACGGAAGTGCTAGCGACATTGTGCAAGCTACGCGCCGAAAGCTCGCGCGCGTCTTCTTCCGCTCCCTATCTCGGGAAGACATTGACCAAGGTTAGGCTACGCTACTGGGTTAAAAGCAACGAGGTAAAGAGGAAGAAGAGGAGGAGAGAAGAGAACGGGAGGACACGACGCCGCTGCTGGAGAGTCGTTCGCTTCGTTTTCTAAGCTGCGTCTCCTCCTCGTCTTCTTCTTCTTCTTCGAGAACGGGCCAAGCCAAATATAAACCGGTGGTAGCTTGAAACGCGTGCGCCACGATCGTCACGCGTACAGAAGACCAACTCGCCGTCAGCGCGTCGAGTTTAAATGTTAAAGTCCTGGCTGGTTGACCAGCTCGGCAGAGGCTCGCGTCGTGTCACCGCTGCTGTTACATGGCGGAGGGCCAACAGAAATGGGCGCCTATACATTCTTCGTGTTAACGCTTTCACCGGGCAAGATATAGTTTCGAATTTTTACATGTATTTTCGGGATACCCTAAAAGCTTCTCATCAAAAGGCCACAGTGACTGCGGCAAATCAAATCTTGAAAGAGCTTGCTACGTTTTAACGTTTTAAGAAAAAGTAACAGCAGAGAAATCAAACACATTTAACCGTCTAAAATTTGCAAGAAGGTAATTCCGACTTCTCAATTTGACTTTGAAGCTGTTAAAATACCACCACCTTCGCGAGATGGTTTCAACGTGGACAACTGCTACAACAATTTTATGACCGAGAAACTCGTGGTACATTAGACTCTTCAGAGTGACGAACATTGCACAGCCATATTCGCAAAGACGACGAAGCCGACAAGAGTCTCGGAGAAGACATCGTCGAAAGTTGCCGGCTCGCGCGAGGAAAGGATTCAAGTGAGCGCAGACTCGAGCGACCAGTTTTTACACGTCCTGTCCGTTGTTAATCTCCTCGTCTGGTTAACATGATCGTGTTCCCAACGACAAAAATGTGAGATTTCACGAGGTAGACCGCGATGGGTGCGACGACGTCGAGTCTGCAGTCACCGCGTCACGGCTCACGAGGGGATAATCGGGATAGATAGGCAAGGCCTCCTAAGAAGAACCGGCGCGACAGCAAAAACACCGAGCATGAACACGCGCAACACACGGCGCCGCTTGTTACGCGAAGGACTTCGGTGCACTCTTGCTACCTCGGAGGACGACGTATCGTTAGCTTCAGGCGTGACGTCGAGTTTCGCGTCGAACTCCCTGCTGGTGGCCTCGGTGGTGGCGTTGCGCTGCAGCCAGGCGTCCCAGTCGTGACGCGGCCACCAGGGTACGCTTGCCGGCACTAGCATGTTCAGTTCTTGACTCGCCATCGTACGGAAGGTCGACGAGAACGACGGTGACGACGACGTGGCCGACAGTGGAGCATTGTTGGTCACCTCGCCGTGGCCGTCCAGCGCGGTCCAACTTCCAGGATCCAGGTTGACGGTGTACACGAGACAACGCGGTTACTTTAGCCGGCTCTTGGGCTACACCTCGCTCCGTTTCGCGTCGCGCCGGCTCTCACGGACACATCTTGCCAACTGCAACCCGCGCGTATTTCTAAATCCAGGTTGCGGGCGATTCTGGGTCGCCTGTCGACCGGTGTGTCGCCGGGCCGTTCTTCTTCCTATCGGCCGCGATGCCTGGTGCACGCGCGTCCGCTTCCGGCGAACCGGCCTGTTTGCCGGGGCGACGTTCCTCCTGCTCGACGACGACGGCGGCGACGGCGACGAGGAAGAAGAGAAGGAAGAGGAGGAGGAAGAAGATGACGACGATGTTGCGTTGGCCATCTGGCGCAAACTCGCACTAAAACCGCGGCGAAACTGCGTGACGAGTCCCCCTCGAAAATAGTCACCGGTCGAAAATAGCCGGCGTCGGGTAAGAAAGAAGAATCATCGGCATTCGCTCCGAGTATACGCGCCGTGTGTACCCATTGCGCCACGAGATTCTCCAGAAACTGGATCTCCCGTCATGCGTTGAGACTCGATAAGTAGCATAAGAACTAATTCGGATGACTCAAGGAGCTGGACTACACAATGTTGTCAAGAGCAAGCTTAGAAACTACAGAAACCGAAACCCCAGCACGAATCCCATTCCTTCGTTCGTTCGATTATACCAATTCCTGTGCTGCGTGTCCATCACCTTGAGTTTTTCTATGTCATTATGGAGCTTGCCTGAAGCTCGATAGTAGTATAAGTACACAAGAATGAGAGTTCCAGAGAGTTGTTTGGATAAGAGTGCGTTCCACACGAACAATTAATTTCTCTGCATTGTCTCAAGTCTACTAGTACAAAGTCTCTGTGAGGAATTCTCTTGAAAGTACAGAGTTAAGGTCTGCATTGAGGCATACTAATACTTGAGATCTGTCTCAACTGAAATACTTAGATTTGAGTTCAGAGTTAGATGAGAATTTTTCAGTCAAATCGCGATTACAGACATACAAGTGTCATACATATTATAATTCAGCTAAAAAACTTTGAACTCTAGATAAAAATCTGAATATTTCATATGAGACAAATTTCAAGTGACAACTATTAGCACGAGTCTAAGAGTTGTTATTTGAAACTTGTCTCATGTGAAATGCTCAGATTTTTATTCAGAGTCAGGCTCATGCTTTTCAGTGGAATTGATTCGTGTAACATTTGTATCTATAATAGCAATTCAACTAAAAAAAAAAAAAACTTATTTAATCCTGGATTCTGTATCTCATTTGAGATAGATTTCAAGCAATAACTGTTAATACGTTCCTAAGATCTATATCAACAGTCTGAATTTAGAGTTAGATATCAGTTTTTCAGTTGAATTGCGATTACGAAGCATAATGTCATATGATTCAACTAAAAAACTCTGATGCAACTTGAAATCCAGATCTAAGTATCTCATGAGATAAATTTCAAGCAAGGACCATAAACACAAGCCTAAGACATTCTATTTTTTGTGTTTTGTGTTTATCAATATCTGACTTATATATTTTTTTATATATTTTTTTTATATATTTTTTATATTAATATTTGACAGACGCATTCATGAATACAGGCGCTATTTCATATATATACAGGGTGAGCCAAATGTATGGATACACCCGAATAAATTTTCAGGACAAGATTTTCGGAGAAAGTGACATGAACAAAAGTTGCTCGAGCATAAAAGAACTATCTGTTGGTGACCTTGGATTTAACCTTGGCCTCAACCTTCAAGGTTATTTGGAGGTCAACTTTGCTTTTTTAAATAGAAAAATATATTTTTTATTACGGAATTTTATTCTACATAAAAAAACAAACAATTTTGTTTGAAAAATAGGACTTTTTCATACGATTTGTATTTTTTAAGGTATTTACGGAAATATCTACAAAATTATTAGTTTCAATAATTTTTTACTCAAATTTTACCAACTTTATCAAAAAATAACAAGAGATAAAAATTACGTATTTTCTTCTTATAGAGCTCTGCAAATTTTTTCAGAATTTTCTAATTAATTTTTTAGTAATGCATTTTTTTGTATTTTCTTGAAATACTAAAAGTTTATATCAAATTTTGAAAAAATTCTCAAAGCTCTATGAAAAAAAATAAAAAATTTTTATCTCTTGCTATTTTTCGATAAAGTTAATTCGAATAAAAAATTATTGAAACCAATAATTTTGTAGATATTTTCGTAAATATCTTAGAAAATAGAGGTATAAACATTTTTTTCGGACAGAAGTTGTTTAATTACGTAGAATAAAATTCTATAATAAAACATACATGTTTCTATTTAAAAAAGCAAAGTTGATCTACAAATAACCTTGAAGTTTAGGGTCAAGGTTATATCCAAGGTCACCAGCAGATAGTTATTTTAGGTCCGAACCACTTTTATTCAGGTCACTTTTTCCAAAAATCCTGAAGATTTATTTGTGTGTATCCATACATTTGGCCCACCCTGTATATTTATATCTAAAAATTTGTTCTGCAATAAATTCTCTTCTACGAGACAATCTGGGTTATTTGTGCACACATCGTGAAGATACGAGAGAGTACTGAATGCGGCTCGCTGCTAATAGTGTATGTT